AGTTGACACACACAAACACACACACACACACACACACACACACACACACACACACAACCTGTCCCTTAGGGGACCCATTTAAATAATTTTTCAAATACATGTTTGATGACAAGCATACTGTTTTCAAGGAAATTGTTTAAAAAATTGAGGTCTGAAGCATAGATATCTCCTAATAACATAGTAACTACTGATCACCTACAAAGTCATTTGCATTTTTGGTGCATTTTTTCCAGTTTTTAAGGCACCTCTGAAAGGTTGGCATATTATCTTCACTGTCCAGGGGCGGGGACACATTTCAGAGAGGCTAGGTGACCAGAGTAAGGTCATATGGCCCAAAAGCTGATAGGCAGGACTCAAGGCTTTATGGGAAGACTTATGGGTTTTGTGGAAGAACTGTGCAGGTGTTTGAGCAGGTAAGTCTGTTCTCTCCCTCTTCCCCTTTCTCTCTCTCTTTATTAAGAAGTAGCAAATGTAGATGAGTCTGCATTGAACACTGCCTGAACCCACAATCGTTGCCGGTCTCTCCATCATTTTTATTTAAAATGACGACACCTCCCTATTTTCACTCTCCCTCCTACTTACCAGTGTAAATCTCTTTTTTATTTGCAGTTAAATTATCAGGTTAGTATTCTAAATGCCACATTTTCTTTTTTTCTTTTTGGTGCTGGATATTCAACCCAGGCCTACCGCCAAGCAACATCGCAGCCCCCATCGTTATCTTTCTTTCTGGTACTGAAAATTCAACTGAGGAGCTCTTTACTACTGAGCTACATCCCTAGCCCTTTTAAAAATTATTATTATTATTATTATTTTTAATTTTGAAACAGGGTCTTGCTAAGTTGCTGAGGCTGGCCTTGAACTTGTGATCCTCCCCACTCAGCCTCACAAGTCATTGGGATTACAGGCACGTGCCACTGAGCCTGGCTTTCTTTTCACTCACATGTCCAAATGCATCTCTTTATTTCCTACCTCTGTGACAACATTGCTCTTCTTATGACATCTGTTCTAACTCCAAGGGCTCCTTTCCAGTTCTGACCATTGGAATTTCTCTGCAGCATCTGACACAGCAAACCACACCTGACATCATTTCCTGCCCATAAAAATACTGACCCAGGTGAAACAGTAACTTTGTGCTAGGCTCTCAATTAAGCACTTTACATGTATTATCTCCTTTAATTTTCACAATATCCCACATTATAGGTGTCAGGGACCTGACTAATATTATACAAGTGGGTAAATGACAAAGTCAGTTGTCAATTATGATCAATTATGCTCTGATCTTTAAAAACACTTACCAAGTCCTTCCTACCTGCTGAGCACAAAGCTAAATTCTTTATAGGTATTCTCCAACTGTTTTGTGTTTTATTTTCTCCCCTGAGACCTAACACTGGACCAACCAAAAGATCAAGTTTATAGTCCTCTGCCTAAAATAAGCTGTCTCTCCTCTGGACTGACTCAAATTTTAAGCTCAATACTTTTTTTTTTTACAAAAGGTTTTATTTGCACCAAATAATTATTGATGAACAGGGCCCTCGTGACCAGCCTTGGGTACAGGAAGGTAAGCAAGGTAAGGCTGCTATTCACCTAGAGCTGACCAGAGAGGGGAGAGAGAGAGTGAGATTCTCCCAGTAAGTAATGGTTATAAGTTTTGGGGCCATTATAAGTATGAGGTGCTGGGCCTCAACTTCCCTATCTAGAAAAGTATTGGAAGAATTAGTAGAGATAAATCTATGTAAAGAGATAAATCTGGCAAATAGTAATTGCTCAATAAAGATATCAGTAGTAATTGAGATTCCTAGGGGGAAAATTTTGATCTTTTCTATTTAAAGGAAGTCAAATTAGAGGTAAAAGGGTAAAATGAGTTGCCCTCCAACGTTTTTAGTGCAGGGTTGGCCTGAGTTCTGTGAACAAACATCAAACACTTTTCACTTGGAGAGAAATTAATTAGGGCAAACTGATTGATACTAAGTAGTCAAGTTTCAATAAAAACGCTTCCTGATTATAATTTGATAAATTCTTTGAATCTTGCTGTTATTGAATTTTAATTTAAAATTTAGTGTTACTGTTCTGATAAAACAAAATTAAGGGAGGTGATTAAATCATTAAATAATATACATTTCTAGTCAATACATTTTAGCTTTGAGGATTAAGTGAAAAATTGAGGAAATATTTTCCCACTGAAGTTTTGGGGACTAGCTGTTGGGTTAGCCATGGGAATATCACTCAGAACTTTCAGACCTCTGCCAAAGCCTGTGGGAAACTGCACTGGGGGTCAGTGACATTTATGGGAGCCTTAATTATCTTCACTCTTTTTTTACCTGTCTATTCCACAAATATTTATTGAGCACCAGCTATGTGCAAGGCACTGGTGAATGAGATGTCGAACAGAACACACTGGGGCCCTCAACTCATGGAGAGTTACGATCCTATTTTTCAGACTAGCAAACAGATAAATATAAAATTACAACTTTGATACATACCATGAAGGAGAAATGCCTGGTACCTTGAGGATCCATGACTACAGGAAAAACAAACTCCTTTGCTTCCTGTTTTGATGCCACTCTCAATAATTCATTGCTGACACTGCATGTGTAGGATTTTCCCCGTACCAACCAATTCTCTAATACCAGCTAGGTGTCCTACAAGTCATTGATGTGATACTGATACTAGAGCAAATTTAGCACAGGACCCACAGTTTAGGGGGTCAGTCTCCCAAGATTGCCCCCACGTCAGTCACAAGTCCCAGGTTGTGACCTATACTTCTGGCCAATTGCCAACATATCAAGGATTCCCATGACCCTGTTCTTGGGTTCAACCATTTGCCAAGATGGTTCACAGAACTCAGGAGAACACTTACTTTACAGTTTATCATAAAGATATCACAAAGGATACAAACAACCAGAGGAAAAGGTACATAGGGCAAGGTTCCCTAAGGAAAGAAGCTTTCCCCCATAAGGCTGGCATGCACCACAGTCCTGGTCTACGGGTGTGTTCTTGTTCACCAACCCAGGGTATGAATCTATATTTGGGGAGTTTTGTTTGGTGGCTTCATCATATAGCGATGACCACTCAGCTCCATCTCCAGTCCCTTTCCCCTCCCCAGAGGATATAGAGCTGAAAGTTCCAGACTTCTTATCATGACTTGGTTGTTCTGATGATCAGCTCTCATCCATAAGCCCACCAAAAGTCACTTCATTACAATAAGTGATGCTCCTGTCACCCAGGAAACCCCAGCCGTTTGGGAGTTCTGAGTGAGACTCTCTTATCATTTGGGAAATCACAAAGGTCTCAGAAGCTTTGTGTCAGAAACTGGAGTCAAAGACAAAAATGTATAAACAAAGCCTCTCCTAGGAAAGTGAGGTCCAGAAATCCCAGCAGCTCCAGCGGCTGAGGCAGAAGGATCACAAGTTCAAGGCCAACTTCAGTAACTTCACAAGGTCCTAAGCAACTTATTGAGATCCTGTCTCAAAATTAAAAATAAAAAGGGCTGAGGATGTGGCTCAGTGATAAAGCCCTGGGTTCAGGCCCTGGTAACACAAATAAATAAATAAATAAATAAATATTCTCCGTTCCTTATAGACATTTTTTTTTAAGTATTTTAGACCTGTGGCCAGTTAAATTCATAGATGTGGAATCCATGAATATGAAGGGGTTGACTTCATATTTGTTACTGTTTATCATTATTTCATAGCCAACAACCATGTGATACAGTTTTGAAAGAGGAGCCCATGAAGGCATCTTTGAGGAAGTGACAGTTTGGCTGAGAGAGAAAAGAGAAACAGGAATGTGCTGTTAAGTAAAACAGGTTTGGGGGGAGAATATTCTAAACAAAAGGGATAGCAGGAGTCAAGATTCGTAGCAGGAAAACGTCTAAAGTCCAGGAGATGAAGACAAGAGGGCCAGAGAACAGG